TTCAATATCTGGATTTATAAATGACTAAAATAACCATTTTGAAACTGTGCGTCCTGGATTTTGAGGTTTCTACCAAATTGCCCATTGTTAATTAGGGTTTTTTAAATGGTAGTGTTTCTCTACCCGCTGTAAGGCTCTAAGGACAGAGGCTGTAAATTGCTGTGGAGATTTTAAAGCTCTGAGACACATTTTTAATATTGGCCGATTTGAATAACATTTTACAAGTTGAGCTGGACACTAAGTCAAACTATACTGCAAACGTCTGTACCAAAACATGCTCAATATAGAGTGGAAAATAACATGAATGTGTTTCCAATCACAAGCCAGGATAACCCTGATTGCATTAACCGGGGTATTTTCTAAATCTTCCAGAACAGAAAACGTATTCAGGTGTTTTCACAGGACTCCTTGTGAGGAGTAAACTCACTTTGTGGCCTTTTATCTGCCATCATTTCTGTAAGACTTCCACAAAACGTTGAGATGGCAAAAGTACACACATCCTTTACTCAAGTAGAAGTACAGATACTCGTGTTTAAAAATACTCTGGTGAAAGTAGAAGTACTGACTAAACTCACACGGAGAAACACTCCAGCTTCATATCTGCTTCCACAGCAGACGAGATGTTTCAGTATCAGCAGTCTCACAGGCCCACACACACACACACACACACACACACACACACACACACACACACACACACATACACACACACACACACACACACACACACACACACACACTGGGATGGATGTGTCTGCCAATCAGCCGACAGACTGTGTGTTTCTCTTCCATAACAGTGTGACTCACACTCTTTGGAGCTTTTGCAGTCAGCAGAGATGGCAAAAGTACACACATCCTTTACTCAAGTAGAAGTACAGATACTCGTGTTTAAAAGTACTGACTAAACTTCTTTACTCAAGTAAAAGTAAAGAGGCTTTGAAATGTACTTCAGTAAAAAGTACCCATAACTAGCAGCTGTTTTAAAGAGTACCTGACCTCCCTTTATATTAATAGAACAATAATGTCATTGTTAGCTAATGAATGTTTCCATGCTGAACAACGGCAACATGACAACGTTTTCATTGGTCCCTCTTCTTTAGAGAAGACCAGGAAATGATGGATACACGGATCGTGTTCAAATCAATAGGCACGCAATGACTCTAAATAATAATGATCACGCCACCAAACACACATTCAAACTAAAGGAACCAGCCTGTTTGGAAAATGTGAGAAGTAGAAAGTACAGGTATTTGTGTTCAACATGTAAGAAGTAGAAAGTACAGGTATTTGTGTTCAACATGTAAGAAGTAGAAAGTACAGGTATTTGTGTTCAAAATGTAAGAAGTAGAAAGTACAGGTATTTGTGTTCAAAATGTAAGAAGTAGAAAGTACAGGTATTTGTGTTCAACATGTAAGAAGTAGAAAGTACAGGTATTTGTGTTCAACATGTAAGAAGTAGAAAGTACAGGTATTTGAGTTTAAAATGTAAGAAGTAGAAAGTACAGGTATTTGTGTTCAAAATGTAAGAAGTAGAAAGTACAGGTATTTGTGTTCAACATGTAAGAAGTAGAAAGTACAGGTATTTGTGTTCAAAATGTAAGAAGTAGAAAGTACAGGTATTTGTGTTCAACATGTAAGAAGTAGAAAGTACAGGTATTTGTGTTCAACATGTAAGAAGTAGAAAGTACAGGTATTTGAGTTTAAAATGTAAGAAGTAGAAAGTACAGGTATTTGTGTTCAACATGTAAGAAGTAGAAAGTACAGGTATTTGTGTTCAACATGTAAGAAGTAAAAGTAAAAAGTGGCCAGAAAAATTGGCGTAAAGTACTGATACCAGAAAAATGTACTTAAGTACAGTAACGAAGTATTTGTACTCCACTACTTCGCACCTCTGGTTAAAACAGTACCTGAGTTGATACTTAGAGGTAGTTTGCAGAGAGAAGAGTTCAAGCAGAGGTCAGTCAAGAAAAGTTTGAACCAATCTTAAAGCACCTTTGGCCAAAAGCCCTTCAGACTAACTTCAGAAGGATAATATCTCGACAGGTGCTCAATGTGCCGGGGGGGGGAAGGGTTCAAACAGATCATCCCAGCTGAAAAACTGACAGTTCTAGACTATCAGAAGGTTATAAATACATAGGCAGTGCTAATCTGGCTTTCATATAATACCACTAAATATCCCTTTAGGCGGGTATAGTGACTCGAGTGACTAATGCTTTAATCTCCATATAGACACGTACTTCCTAAACTTTGAAATATTTCATTCAATATATGCATAGATACATTAACCCTAGTTACAAAAGGAAAATACATAGTTTTATATTTTACAGTTTTGGGTATACTGACTTTTTGATTATTTTTTTATATATGTTTTTTTTACTTTTTTATTGCATTGTGTATTTACATTTCATATTTTTTCACTTCAATTTTTGAATATATGTATTTTTTGTATTTTATATGGTGCAACTGTCATAAAACTGAATTTGCCCGTGTGATTAATAAAGTATTTTTGATTGATTGATTCATATTTCCTTTGATTGACATCCTAATTATCTCACAGTAGGTGTTTTAATGATGTAAGAATTTCCCCCGATGAGCTGCTGGATGTCTTTCTGTTCACATGTCCAATAAAATGACAATACATTTAAACAAATACACATTTCCTGTCCTATTTTGTAGAGGAAAAGGATGACAAACTAAGGAGTAAAGGCCATTTTGACTCAATCTGGAACCACCTATATATTTTTAATTTAATTCACTAATAGCTTCTACTACATGTCATACGTAGGGTTAAATCATCATCAGACATTATTACTAAACTACGTACATGAATAAAACGCTTTAAATCACCTCTTTGATAAAGGTTAAGTGCAGTGGTGGAAAGTAACTAAGTACATTTACTTATTTAAGTACACATTTGAGGAAGTATTTTCATTTTATACTACTTTCTTCTCCACTACATTTTGGAAAGCAAATATTGTACTTTTTACTCCATTTAACTACACATCTATTTACTTTATAAATTCAGATTTTGACACGAAATACTTAGGAACAACTTTTGAAATGTGATTATTTGGAATAAAAGTGTACTTTTACTCTTAAGATAAGATAAGATAAGATAGGACTTTATTTCTCCCGAAGGACATTGTTGTGGCAGAGTTACAAAAATACAATAAACATGGCAGCATGATAATAAAACTGGGCAGTAAAAAGAGCAATTAAATAACTACAGGACACATAGACGGTCACATAATTAATGTAAATATTAACAGTATTTAGTAGTGCAACAAAAACGTAGTGGCAGATACGTAATTGCACATTATTATAGAACATTATTAATAAATAGTAAAGTACATTTTCCTAATCGTACTTAAAACACTTTTATTTAAGTACCATTCTCCATGCAGCACCTATTTGTACAGTTTTGTATTAGTATATTTGTTCAGTGTTAACAGACAGATGTCATGTCTTATCTACAGGTATTTTTTACCGCGCATGCTCAGTGTGTCTCCGGTTGATTCCCATCAGAGCTGGAGATCACCGGTCCGACAGCACATGGATCCCCGGTGAAAAGAGCCAGAACTCCGGCCAAGGGGTAAGCCAGAATCCGTGTAAAAGCTCCGTGGGTTTAAGTGATAAAAAGGGGGTGTTTTTAGTCAGGAAAAGGGAAACAGAGAAAGTGAACCGTGTAGATAAAGCGCGCGAGGCTGCATGGCCGCGATGACTCACCTGTTAGTTCATCTGTGAGGGGAAAATCAAACAGAGCTTTTTAATTGTTGTGGAAGGATATGAAGCAAATGGGGTTTTCTTTTTCATAAGTCTGGATAAAGTAGAGTGAAGAAAGCCTGTTGCATTTCCGGGCTTTTTCAGGATCCATTAGACAACAAACAGGTTGATTTAGCCTTTTTATATATATAAAACATGAAATCTATGTGAAGTTAACTTGCTTCCAAAGTGGAAGTTAGGGCAGACTCCATGGACAGCTCTCTGGTTTAAGAGACTTTATGGGACTCAAAGCTTAGACTAAGTGCATTAAAACGATCATAAAACCATATCTAAATCCTTTAAAATCATTAATCTCATTAAACCAATGAGTTTCACACTTAATCCATCATTACGAGCGCAAAGTATATTGTCAGTCACCTGTCAATGCTCCACATATGAGTTTATAAGCATAATGCATATTTAACAGCTTCAAGTTCTGACTTACTTGACTTAAATACAATTATTAATACCATTGTGTGAAGGTACTTTAGTTGAGTAAAAGTCCATTTTCAATACTACTTAAAGGTAAAAGTACAACAAAGTATTATCAGCAAATGTAACTTTAAGTCAAAGATCTAAACTAAAGAGTTTGTTTTGCATTAAGATGACTGTCATTGTTCTGTATAATACACATATTATAGCAGTATTTTCCTGATATATCTTCTTCTGTGGGAGTTTTTTTTAGACTAAATTACATAATTTGAGGGGTCATACGATGAGTAACGGGGTAGATAATAATGGTTCTGTTACACAAATTGCTTTAAATATACATTATTAAAATGAACCTTGTTTTTTTAAGTGTGTAAGAATGTGCATGTGGGTCTTTTTCGGGCTCAAGCAACTAAGTTAAGTCCCGTGAGCATCTTAAAGTGAAAATATCTCTGAGTTTAGATGCTAACGGCTACGAGAAGCCACAAGGCACTGCTTTATTACGAAGGCTAACAAGCCAAAAGTGTTGGGAAACCACTTGTTTAATATTTAACAATGTGTTGTATGTTATACATTTATCATATGTGTCTAAATGTAACAGTAAAGGACTCTCTCACTAATCAGTGCGCACACATAATGACCTAAAGTCTCCATTTGAAATATGTAAGTTATGGACTTTCCTCGTTTTCCTGTGAATTCAAACCTCTAATTGCGTTGACATTCACCATGAAAACAACCCGAAGGTCAGGTCCTTCAACATGAAGAAAAACACACACAAATCACATTGATTTCACTATGCAATTAGGTTTATAATGAATGAAGCTTGGCCACGTTCAGCATTTTGAATCAGACAGTAGAAAGTGTTAATCAATAAGGTAAAAGCATGCATTTGCAGCAGGAAATGTAACCGAAATGGAAGAGTTTGTTGTTATGTTTTCTTCTTGTTCTGTAAACACTTTGGGCTGCTTTGTGCATGAAAGGTGCTTTACAAATAACGTGTATTATTATTATTATTATTATTATTATTATTATTATTATTATTATTATTATTATTATTATTATTATTATTATTATTATTATTATCTTAGATCAGGGATGTGAGCTTGCAAAGAATAAAATACGTTTATTATACGGTTACATGCCGCATAAACAACATGTCCCACAATGCATCTCATTTTGTGATAAGCTCACTGAAGAGACTTGCAGTTATTTGCAATTATTTGCCCTAGACTTCTGCTTTCAGACGTAGTTAATTATAAAGTTATTACCCTATCTGATAATAATCCAATACAGAGGCAATAATGTAGTATAATACATTATTTTATATATATTATACATTTATATATGTATATTTATATAGTCTTAAAGGTACACACTGGGATCAGCCAATAAGAGAAAGCGTTTGAAGGCAGAGAATGAAAGAAATCCATCAAACCTCCTCTGGAGAAACACAACATGTGTGCATGTGAGGGAGAATTCTTCTGTGACTCATCTGTGGGAGGAAAGAGAGCCACTTCAGGGCCTTCAATCTGTCACACGCTATATAACAACAACAACAATAACGGGGGGAAACCTCACGACACAGGGCAGGATTTACAACCAGCGTGAGGAGCGATGGAGGTTTTTATTGAGGGGAATCCATATTCTGCAGATAAACAGTGTTTGTTTTACAGCCCAGCTCGACACACACACATCACTCATTGTGAATACTCTGAATATGTATTACCTACAAACAGTTCATAATATCACAATAGTTCAGACTGCACCATCATTCAGTGAGGAAACCGTTGGTTTTATTCAAGCACAAAAAAGAATGGTCCATTTCAGAATAATATATATGATATGTTTTATAATGATTGATCATGAAAGTGTTCTCAAAGCTGGTAAAGGTGCAGCTAGTTTGAATGACTTTGTATACTGCAGGGTAGCTTCCACTCCAGGTGGAACTAAAGTCTGATTTAACACTTGATTATATTTCTAGGGCTGTCAAGTTAACGTGTTAATAACGCGTTAACGTAAAAAGAAATTAACGCCACTAATTATTTTAACGTGATTAACGCATGTGTATTTTTTGTCCTCGGCCGCCCCGTAGTTTCAGAGCGCATCGAGTTTAAAATACCATCTACAAGCTGATGCTGACAGCCCCGCTCCTGCCGCCCGCTTGTGGCAGACCACACTTCCACGCTCACCGGCAGGCCCGGACTGGCCATCGGGAGGACCGGGAGGGTGTGTGTATGGGTGGCGCGAGCGAAGCACACCTTACGCGTTGTTGTTGTTAGCATCTGGTGCTAGCTAGCTGCGCTAACGGATATAAGGAGCTGTTTCAATGAAAACAGAGGAGCGACATTTCGCCGACAACTGCGCCGAGCACTTGACTTTATGCAGGTAGCCAGACAGTGGGACATTGTACGAAAAGTCAGCACACTCAGCACGGATAGTACGCGCTACATGATTGCAGCGTCCAGGCAGCTCCCATTCGAGCATATATGCCTTGAGCTGCACATAGCTCCAACGATCCATCACAGTGTCTCCACACACACACACACACACACACACACACACACACACACACACACACACACACACACACACACACACACACACACTTTATTGTATGAGAGAGGTTCCAGGTTGAATTGAGGTGAATATTTGTAATGTTCAGAGGTTGTTGTGTTTAATATTCATGAGAATATTTGTCATTGTTCAAATGATAATAAACAAACATATAAAGCATAGTTGTCCACTCATATGTTGATAAGAGTATTAAAAACTTGAAAAATATCCCTCTAAGGTACATTTAGAACAGATAAAAAATGTGCGATTAATTTGCGATTAATCGCGATTAACTATTTTAATCGACTGACAGCCCTATATATTTCACATCATTCATCCACATCTGGAAAGTAACTAAAGGTATTAAATACATGTAGTGGAGTAGAAGTACAAAGTAGCATAAAAGGGAGATACTCAAGTAAAGTACAAGTACCTCTAAATTATACTTTAGTACAGTACTTGAGTAAATGTACTTAGTTACTTCCCACCTCTGATTATGTTCATTATTGATACTCAGGTGCTGAGGAGGCTTGGCTGTGTGACGGACGCACAGTTTGAGGATCTGTTCAACAAGGTGAGAACTTTTATTTTAATTTTTCATGTGCCTCAGGAGCAGAGGCGGAAGAAGTACTCAGATGTTGTACTTCAGAAAAAGTAGAAGTACTCAGATGTTGTACTTCAGAAAAAGTAGAAGTACTCAGATCATGTACTTTAGTAGAAGTACCAGAGTGTAGGAATACTCTGTTACAAGTACAAGTCTTTCATTCAAAATGTTACTCAAGTAAAAGTATAAGCATCAACATATAGTTAAAGTACCAAAAGTAAAAAAGTATTTTATAGGTTTTATTGTGTTCCTTTATTTTTCTGTGTGGGATCATTATTTATGTTATTGTATTTTATTGTTATTATCATACCTATCTTACCTCCTTGTGTCCCTTGAACTGTTATATTATGCCTTTATGCTGCATGTCTGCAAAAAGGTTTATTTTTGTTAAATTTGGAAGTTCACCTGTAAAAAGTCAATTGTTAACTGTTTTGGACAAATAAAGATACTCAGAATTTTTCTTCATTTTTTTTATTAACAAAAACATGACACCAGAAAAGCCATAACCCCAAAACCAGAATCACACTGGCCTGAACACAAAATGATACGACTGATCCCTGATAAACTCAAACACTTAAATATATCAGCAGGCCAACTGACCAAACTTTAAATAAACAGTTTTACATATTTCTGGGGAAATCCTCCAGTTCTCTCTTTAATGGTTAACCTGGCTAACAACCCTCTGAGAAGCCTTCACCGGAAACTGTTTGGGAAAAAGGAACAGACACTAAAAAACGACTTAGCAGAAAGGTCTGCAAAATTAAGCAAATAAGTAAATGTCGTCATCACCATCACCATCAATATCACCATCATCACCATCAATATCACCATCAATATCACCATCATCATCATCACGATCACCATCAATATCACCATCATCACCATCAATATCACCATCAATATCACCATCATCATCACCATCAATATCACCATCATCATCATCACCATCAATATCACCATCAATATCATCATCACCATCAATATCACCATCATCACCATCAATATCACCATCAATATCACCATCACCATCATCATCACCATCATCATCATCTATATCTGTTGTTCTACAGTCACAGAGACCTTCACAGGTAACACCTTAAGTGGGTCTACACGCATATTGCCAATGTATGGAAACATCTTCTCAGTGAAAGTGTGTGTGAAGGTGTGTATGTGTGTGTTAGTGTCAGGATCAGAGAACGACAGCTTTCTTCCTTTCCAGTCCAGATTCACTCTGACCCTCTGGAGCTCCTTCTGCAGGCTGAGAGGAGTTTCTGGACGTGATGGTGAATCTGCTGAGTATTTACCTTCAATAGACTTTATTCTCCATAATCCAGACCGTATGTGTCCCTTCCTCTCGACAGACTCTGCTAACACACCCAGTCTCCAGTCTATACTGTCTCCAACCTGGACATCCCAGCTGTGAGTCCCTGAGTTAAAGCCCTCAGAGCCCAGGACAGAGTTGTAACCACCAAACCTCTCTGGATTATCCGGAAGTTCCTCCTCTCCTCCTTGTCTCACACTGGTCAGATCTTCAGACAGGATGAGGTCTGGATCAGCAGTGTTTGGGTCCAGGATGAGAGGAGAGTAGGACACCATGTCCTTCATCTTGCTCCAGATGTTGAAGCTGAGGTTGCCCAGATGTTTGGCCTGGTCTATCAGAGCTCCTGAGGGCAGCTGTGGATCCTCCAGCAGGGGGCGCTGCAGCCTCTCCACTGCAGCCTTGTAGTTGTGCAGGAAGGAGACGTCTTCAGCTCTCAGCTCCTCCTCTGTGGCTCTGACTATGTGTGAAAGAGCTGCTATCTCTCTGCTCACAGCATCCATCTTCTCCATCATCCTCCTCTTCTGCTCCTCTTCCTCCCTCAGTGCAGCCATCCTGGCCTCCTCTTCCTCTTCTAGAAACTGGTGAAGCTTCTTAAACTGCTTCTTAATCTGCGTCTCTGTGCGTCGAGCCTGGACCTTCATGTGTTCTGCTGTTTGATCAAACTTCACTTTAACTTCTTCAAAAGTCTCTAACTTCTTCTTGAAGGGCTGCAGAGGTTCCTGAAGCTCCTTCTTGTGTTGTCGTGCAGCTTCATCGATGGGTCTGAATCTGTGGTCGGTGTGTTTATCTGAATCTCTGCAGACGAGACACACTGGCTGCTGATGGTCCAGACAGAAGAGTTTGAGTTTCTCATTGTGCAGACTGCAGAAAGCCTCTGGAGATCTCTGACTTCTCTCCTGTAGGAAACTCTCACACAGGTTCTTTAAAGACAAGTTAGAGATAAGTTCATTCTCTGAAGATCTCTTACAAAGTGGACACTCTTTGATGACTTTCTCCGTCCACCAGTTCTGCAGACAGTCTCTACAGAAGCTGTGGCTGCATGACAGGACGACAGGATCTTTAAAGATGTCTTTGCAGACAGTACAGCAGAAATCTTCCTCTAATCTGGAAGCCATGTTGTCTGTGAGTGAAGCAGTAAACTCAGCAGCAGCCGCTCCCTGTTCCCTGAGACTTCCTCTCACTTTGAGTCTTTGTTCTAGTCAAACTCTCAGTGTGTGGATTCAGCAGCTGCTTGAAGTGGAAGGTATTCCAGTATTCCCTCCTGTGGACGTCCTCTCAGTGGAAGAGTTGTGTTTGTTGTAAAGTTGAATCTTAAAGTCCGTGTGTGTATGGGTGTGTATGGGTGTGTGTGTGTGTGTGTGTGTGTGTGTGTGTGTGTGTGTCACTCTCTCAGCGAGGCAGAATAACAACTTGTATCCTGGTTTGTCTCAGGTGACACAAATGACTCATGCGTTTTGAATGAAACTCAACCTGATGTCGTGAGGACCAACTATCGCCTGACTCGCTGAGACGACACTGTGACTACCCGATTTGCATCTCTACCCGATTTGCATCTCTGCCCGATTTGCATTGCGCATGCAAGATGGTCCACCATATTTAATATGGACACTTGGATAGGACACTTGACACAGTGGCGTTTGGCAAAGCAGAAAAAGAAAACTCTAAAAACCCGACAACATCTGAACGAGAGATGAGTTATTGTTCTTCTCTATTATTAACTCCTTTTAGTGGGTTAAATACATTTTTAGAATAAGTGAGAAATGGATGTAACTTCTGTTAGACAGCTATCATACTGAAAAAATATTTACTGTGAATGTATGCAAAAATGTATGGCATTAATAATTTATATCTAATTACATTAGCCGCGTTCACACCAAGTACTTTCCTGTACTTAGTTCCGGCACTAAGAGCCCTGGCGCTTTTAACCCCAGGGCACTTAGTACAGATCGCGTTCACACCGGAGTACTTTTCCCTGAGGGAAGATTACAAGTACAGTAGGTGGCGGTAAGCACCTTAAAGTTGTTTGCAATCCGCTACAAAACAAGAGAAGAAGAAAAACTTCCCGCGTATACTGTCTGTTGTTTACCTTCCAACCTCAGACATGATGGAGATGGAGTCGACTGGAGTTGTGCTGTTTGTGCTCATGTTATACAGCTTTGTAACTTCGTTAATGCGACCAGAGCCTGAGCCTATTAGGCGTCCGACAAAAATCCGGAGCCGCCACACGTCGAATGCTATAATCGCAAAGTTTCTTCAGCATCAAAGGCAGTTCAAAAGCTTTAGGAAAAGGATTGGCCGACGGAAAGCACACATGACTGCCATGTTTCACCGTAGGATGGCTGATACAGGATCTGTTTAATCGCCATGTCGGTTTTCTTTATTGCACTCTCAAGACATAACATTAAATAGAAACATTGTCAATATAAAATAAAGTGTCAGTTGTACTATATAATAACAGTAATAATAATATAAAATAAACTGTCCCAGCTGTAGGGAGTCTCAGCAGCAAACCCACCTTTATTATATATCTTCCTGAGACCCACTGCATCCGTCTGCCATAAACACTATGCAAACATACATGTTAGTTTTGGCCCATAGTGGACTCCATGTTGTGTTGTGTGAAATGGGGGGGAATTAAAAGTTTAGGTCAAATAATATTTAAAATGATATAAATTATCATATTTGTGTATGTGCCCCTGCCATTCCCCCACAAGGTTGCAACATTGATGATAAATAAATGACAAATAAAGCTTTGCCAGTTTATAACCGATGAAACATGATGGTATCAGAATAATCACTTACATGTGATGTATAGGATGCTACACAGGTCACTAAAGATAAAGTGTCAGGAGAAATAAGCTTAATCGCCATGTCGGTTTTCTTTATTGCACTCTCAAGACATAACATTAAATAGAACAATTTTAAATGTAAATAAAGTGTCAGTTGTACATGTCAGTAAACATTATATATAAAATAAAGTCATAACAGTAATAACAATATAAAATAAACTGTCCCAGGTGTAGGGATATTCTCAGCAGCATACACACCTTAGTGCAACGTTGTGTGTCGTGTGTCAGTATTTACATTTACAAAAACTATACCAAATAAACTGTTATTAAATGCAGTTTGTCGCTCATCCTGCCGCTGCGCCGACGCTTCCTCATGGCGCAGCGCCCACACTTCATCCTGGTGCTGCTGGCGCTCCATCTGCTGCTTGAACACTTCTGCCTGGCGCTCCATCGAGGTGAGCATCTTGTCCTCCGTTTCCTGGGCCTTGGTGAACAGCACCATCTGATCTCCACGCAGCGACTCATTCACCACGGCACGCCGGTCCTCCAACGCCTGGGCGGTGTCAAAGAAATTCGCATCCCGTGTCCACTTTCCTAAGAGGGGAAAATAAGCAAGATACAAGATACTAGGAATGTTTTTTTTTTGTATTTTCACAAATAGAATTAAGGTTTCACAAATCTGAAACTGTGTTCTAAAGAATCTTTTGACTCTCTGGGATAATCCAGTCCAGATTTGATGAGTCTAGGTATAGTGGTTTTAGATCAGGACCTGGTCTAATGTGGTCTACATGTAAAAAAAGCACTGAAATCTCCCTTTTTTGTATTTTCACAAATAGAATTAAGGTTTCACAAATCTGAAACTGTGTTATAAAGAATGTTTAGACCCTCTGGGATAATCCAGTCCAAATAAATCGGCTATGCAGCGATTTAAGAGGTTCAAACACGGAGGATTGTTCCTTTTTGAAGAGTGCTTCATGTATGCTTGAACTTTGTTTAATGTTGTTGAGGCAAGTTAAACATAAAATATGATGAATATTATGAAATAAACATGATTGTGAACATCAGTTCGATGCGTAACGTTCTTTCAAGACAAAGTTACAGTGTGTGTACCTTTGCGTTTGGTTGCTGGTAAGGAGGACGAGCTAGCGCTGTGATCTAGAATGCAAAGCTCGCTTGTTTCCAATCCCGAGAGTTGTCCATCCTCGCCTGAAACACACGATTAGTTCCATGAGTTAGTGAAGCAAATTACAGAAACACTGCACAGTTATTCACAAGTCAAAACGTTTTCAGAGCGGCCGAGAATATCTAGCTAGCTAGATGTAGCTAGCTCGGAGCCTAGCATGGCTAGCTTGATATACTGAGCAAATAAAAGTACATCTGAGACCATTATTGTGCAGATTAAAACCCCAGTGCATGTAGTTGATTTTACCTTCGTCGTGGTAGTCATCGTTGGCCACTGAATCCGCCGTTTGTAGTCCTGCCTGAGTTTCTTTATTTTTAGCCGGTGGGGCTGTGCACAATTCCCAGGTCGAGTGAAAGCTACCGAACTGGCTTCAGTAGCATTCCCTGGGTCGCGTCCTCTGCGTAGATCTCCAGAAGCGCCGACACCTCCTCATCATTTCTTGATGCTTGCCATAACTGCTTTCAAAAACAAACACAACGCACGGAGCGTTGTGTTTTTGTAGCGAGGAAAAACAATGGCGTCTCCACACAACATTTTCAGAGTTGTACGGGCGTGGTTTGCAATTCGCCCAGCCAATCAGCACTGGGGCACTTTTGGAGCACTTTTCACCCACAGAAAAGTACGCTCTCTGAGCTGGCTCTAAAAATGGGGGTAAAAGTACCCGAGATTAAGTACGATTGTTGGTGTGAACGCGACATAAGGGGTACTCACGGAACTAAAACGCGAAAAGTACGGTGAAAGTACTCCGGTGTGAACGCGGCTATTAACTATGAATGTCTTTCATTTTATTTCAAATAAAATAACATAAAATATATTCCATAAAAAAGTTGATTCAAGAACAAATCTCTGTTATTAGATCAGTATTTTTCTTATATGACAATTATTGCTAAATGTGAAAGGTCTCTACCAGCTTTGGAATTATATATATATATATATATATATATATATATATATATATATATATATATATATATATATATATATATTTATATATATATATATATATATATATATATATATATATATATATATATATAAATCGGGCACCCGTTTAAGTTTAAGACTCGCCCATGCGCAATGCAAATTGGGCAACCATCTAGACCAGGGGTGGGGAACCTCCGGCCCCCGGGTCGTATACGGCCCGCGAGACCATTTGGTACGGCCCTCGAGGTAATTTATAAACACACGCAAAAAAGAAAATAAATCAAGAAATTTAGACTGCAAAAAAATTAAACAAGCGAGTGCCTGTTTTTCCTGGCCAAGGTCAGGGTCCTTGAACACAACACGAGCCTAACGTGTCATCACGTGGTATATGTCTGGTCTGACAGGGGTGCAGTTCTGACGGAGAGCACCAGAGCGCCGCTCCGGCACTTCCAGAAATGTCAGTACCCATAAGGAGCAGGCGCGCCGGATTCATTTTAGAAGTGGGGGGGGCCAAAAAAGTGCGTGTGTATGGCCCAATCCCAAACCACGCCTATGGAGCTAATTTCATGCCATAACTCCACAAACAAACTAAACAGGTTTTACAAATGCCTCATGATTCACTAACAAACACAATGTGGTTTGCAAATACAAAACTCTCCTCAAGCTTTCTTAATGTGCCCAGAGGTGTTCCTCAAGGCTCGGTCTTGGGACCAACCCTTTTTACTATTTATATAAATTATGTGGGTAAAAGCATTGATGCCTCTGTACATCTATATGCAGATGATACTGTTGTGTACTGTTGTGCTAGCACTGTTGCCCTTTGAACGTCTGCAGTCTGCTTTTGACACTTTTCAGTCACATCTGTTCCACCTTAGGTTGGTGTTAAACTCAGATAAGACAAAAGTCATGTTGTTTTCCAATAAGAAAAGGTTACCAACTGTTCTTCCCTGCATCATGTCTGCACAGCATAACCCCATTGAAGCTGTTAACACCTACAGATACTTAGGCATCACTATAGATGAAAATCTCTGCTTCAAACAGCATATTGACAATCTCTTAAGGAAATTGAAATTAAAACTGGGATTCTTTTTTAGAAATAAGGCCTGCTTCTCCACAAGTGCGAGGAAACGGCTTGTAGCTGCCACATTTTTGCCGCTCTTGGACTACGGGGATGTTGTGTACATGAACGCCTCAGCTCACTCACTTCATCTGCTGGACGCTGTCTACCATGGGGCTCTGAGGTTCATAACAAACTGTAAACCCCTCACACACCATTGCACGCTGTACTCTTTAGTCAACTGGACATCATTATCAATGCGCAGATCACTGCACTGGTACAAACTCATCTATACCGCTATGCTTGGACTGCTGCCCCTCTACATATCCACTTACATATCACACAAACAGTACAGCTATAGCCTACGATCTCAAAATG